CTATTGATCTCATCGACCAATAAAAGAAGTTGTCAAGTCAAGAAGGCTGAAGTCCTGAAAAGAATAAACATTGTACTCTTTGTTCATAATCTTTACACTTAATTGATAACTAAAATTCATAAAGAATTTTTAAAATTGGTTTGATATTTAGAATTTATTTATTTTACCTATGAGATACTGTATAGTATGTAGTATACTGTATATTAACATCGTTTTTAATTGCATTAAAACATTAAAGATCGTCTATATTGAATTTTAACCAAACAGACATAAGAAAATGGAGTTTCCTACACTAGCTTATATTGCAAGGGATTACTTATCGGTTCGAGGAACTAGAAATTTACAATAACACGATAATAAGGAAATTAGATGGCACATACGTATTGTGTTGTGTATAAGTGCTACGAAAATTTGTTTATGCAATGCACGTACGTCCCATTTATGCATGTATGGTATGCTGACAAAACAGGTTAGATAACATGGATTTCGAATATTGTGATAAACAGAACGGCCTTTGAAATCCGTAGGTGTCCATATAAGCATGTACGTGTATTTTTTTCAAAAAAAAATTTACCATGTCTAAAGAGCTAATTGATAAAAATAAAGCACAAGAAAGTCAAAATGAAATCCCCACACCGGAATCAAGAATAGAATGGGTTAGAAACTTGATAAACGGTGGTAAATTAATTTCAATAGACAGTTCTGAATTTGAAACCAAAAAGGCTATTTGCGCCGGGGGTTACGGTTTGATTGTTCTTTGTCGTTGGAAAAATGAAAATAGAGACGTAGTTCTAAAACACATGGCTGAAATCGAAGGTGATGAACAGGTCACTCACGATAGTTTAGTCCGTGAGGTAATAAGCATTAAGCTCTATTTAGTTATTTATTAAAAAAATTCGCTAAATAATTTTACGCATTAGCTGAAAGTATTTCAGCAAGTTAAGGATGGCGTAAAAATAAAAGGTGTTGATAACATCATAAGATTCTATGGTGTAAGGTGAATGGGTCATATAACTTTCGGTTGCTATTATTATTCTTATGAATGCGCATTTGTATTTACTATTTGCATTTACGTTCATCTGCTTAGTTATTTCGATGATGGTATGTGCATACATGCATGTCTTGAGTCTTGCGTACCGATTTGACAACAAGTAATCGAAAAAAAAAATTTTTTATTCTATTAGAAAAAGTCTACAAGCTCGTTCTCGAATATGCGACAAGAGGCGATTTACATAATTATTTGATAAACTATGATAGAAAGATGGATTGGGACCAAAAGATCGAGATCGTTAACCAGATTTTGAGCGGTCTCAGTTTCTTACACTCAAATGAAATATTGCATCGTGACTTGGTAACAAATAATATGTTTAATATAAAGGTTTCTCCTCCATCGTCTAACAATTGCAATCCTCTTTAGCACACAAAAAATATATTAGTTCAACAATCAGAGACGGGAGAAACACGTGTACTGATAACTGATTACGGATTTTCCAAGGTTTTGTCCCGGGGTAGTTTGTCTATTTCACAACATTTCTTTGGAAAAGTGGCATTTGTGGATCCTTACATTCTGTCAGGAAAAGATACCAAGCATGATAAGAGCTCAGACATCTACAGTTTCGGGGTAGTGATGTGGGAAATTTCTAATAATGGCAAGGACCCATTTGAGAATCAACACCGTACCGCTTTGTTATATCAAATTATAACCACGGATTGTCGAGAAAAACCTATTCATGGAACACCTAAATCCTACGTACAACTTTATCAGAAATGCTGGCGGCTTGACCGTTCTGAACGACCTAAAATAGAGCAGATAGAAAATGATTTAAAAGATATTGACATCAATGATAAATGGATAGATGAACCACCATCACCGGCATCCTGCAGTTCAAGTGTATTGAATATATTAACCGGTATGGTCACTTGCGAATCCAAACATTTAAATGTTATAAATGTTACAATTCTTTTATTTACTAACTCAATAGCGAAATATTCACATTATTTTCTTAGATGGAACAAGCTCTTTGTATACGGGTATGATATTGGCGTTTAATTGCACATTAATAACAATACAGACTAACTTCTTTATTAGAATCTGATTCCGTATCCACACCAGAAAAAGGTATCGCTTATATCACGGTTTCTTTATTTGAAGAAATGCCAACAACTAACATTTGTTAAATCTCAATAGTTGATTCACCGGTGAGGACAAAATCTACTTTTATTTTGATTCACTACACCATTTCCGAAATCATAACCAGAAAATCCTCACAGGGCGAATTGAGTGATAATTGCGATAACGATCAATCGCAAATCCGTAAACAGACGATGAATGAATTAGGTGATTGGTTAAATAAGGCTCATATAGATGGTAAGTAGTTTGTGTGATTAAAAAAAAAAAAATTGAAAGAAAAAAGACTTACTACGTCTATTTTAACTTAGACTTGCAAAAAATGTTGGAATTTTGTCAAGCATTGAAAAATGATAAATCTTCATAATGACAAGTTCAAATTCAAGATATTTTTTCGTTCAGCTAAATTGATATGTTTTATTTTCAGTCGTTTCTTATCTATTTATAAAAAAAAAATTTTTTTTATTTAATAAAAGATTGCAATGCGTAACCATTTTAATAATGATTATTATAGTATTGTATAACCTGCAACCAGGTTAATAGTAAAGTGATTAATTAAAAGAATACATGCAGTCATTCATTATTCCTATAAGATAAAATAAAACAAAACAATATTGTACTAATTTTTAATCTTATAAAATCACATCTATTTAATAACATTAAATAGGAAATGTAATTAATTTAACATTGCAATTTACTAGTCAAAAAAGATTTGTTTAACATATTGTAACATTTTTTCAAAAAAGTAAATAATTTAGCATATTAATAGCATAAATAAATAAAAAATCAATTTCTACTATATAATATAGCATTTTTATTATTATTATTATTATTTTTTAACCTACAATCATGTTAAAATGGCTTGTCTTTATTAAGATACTTGAGAAAATACCAAAATAATCCACAGATCTTCTCACATAATGACTAACTCGTCTTTGTACATTATTAGTTGAAGGACTATACTACTTAAAAAATATGAGAAGTCCACTAAGCTAGTTTGGACTAAACAAAACTAAGTCTCAACTAGATACTCTAAGTCAGAT